GCGCTTTTCTTCTCTGGTAAGTAACATACATGCTCGCTTAATTATAACTAACTTTCATTAATTATCACCGGTAAGACTTGCTGATGTAGTTTTATCTTAATACTGGAATGGAATTTATGTGTTTTGTTATAATATATATTTTTTTGGAGTATTGATTCGTGTTGTTGTGTGGAAATGATGAAACAGGTCTGAAACACTATTGAGATTGGTGGTGATCGGTTGATGAGAAATGAGGTTGGTGGAGTTTGGGTGTGTATTTATGACACTATTTGCCATTGTGTTATATGGTGAGGCAGAGGTTTATATAGTAACTGTTGAAGGTGAGCCTATCATAAGTTATACTGGCGGTGTTGATGGGTTTGATGCCACTGCTGTGGAATCTGATGAGAAGATTGATACCTCAAGGTATGATTTTTGCAGATTTTTTCTCAATTTTGTAATGTTTTTTTTTTTGATATTTAGTCGTCGAAATTACAGGTGGGTTTACATTCTGAATGAGTGGTGAATTTAGACACTCTAGAAATAAAGAATGATCATGTCATAGTGAATTTATACACCCTACATGGTTATCTAATTGGTTATAACAATGAATTGTTGTTAACTATTGATCAGATAAGTTGTGCTTTTTGCGTACGAGGAATTGAGAACTGGATATTGATTTGTGTTGTTATTGGAATATTTGTGTTTCTTTAAATTTTCTTCCAGTGAGTTGGTGACTTCGTATGCTCGACACCTTGAGAATAGACACGATATGCTTCTGGGGCTGCTCTTCGACCGTGGAACATATACAAAACTCTATAGCTATAGACATCTTATAAATGGATTTGCAGTTCATCTATCCCCAGAACAGGTGATGTTTTGTCTTGTGTCATCATCTTTCTTTACTATAATTCTGTTGAAACTAATGAATTGAGTTTATGAAATCCATTTCTGCACTCTGATTTTGTTACCTTATATAATCTTACATTAGTAGGTAGAAACTCTTAGACATGCTCCTGGTGTGAAATCTGTTGAGAGGGACTGGAAAGTGAGGAGACTTACAACACATACTCCACAATTTTTAGGGCTTCCAACTAGTGTTTGGCCCACGGGAGGAGGCTGTGATAGGGCAGGAGAGGACATTGTGATTGGATTTGTGGACTCTGGGATATATCCTCACCACCCGAGTTTTGCTACGCATAATACTGAACCATATGGACCACTTCCGAAGTATAGAGGGAAATGTGAAGTTGATCCTAAGACTAAAAGAAGTTTCTGTAACGGAAAGATTATTGGAGCACAACATTTTGCTCAAGCTGCAATAGCTTCTGGAACGTTTAATCCTTCAATTGATTTCGCTTCTCCTTTGGATGGAGATGGCCATGGAAGGTTAGACCCTTTCCCCAACTTTATTAACCTCTTCACTTCAAATCCTTGGGATGCCCTCTTTATCGTAGGTCCAATGCTTGACATAAAAGAGCAGTTCTTTTAATTTTTCCACGGTTCTTCTTATTGCATCTTCATCCGGCAGTCATACAGCCTCTATTGCAGCTGGAAGAAATGGAATTCCCGTGAGGTTGTATGGACATGAATTTGGGAAAGCAAGTGGAATGGCTCCCCGTGCCAGGTGAGGAATAATACTGTAATCGTTCATTTTATGCAGTTTTTTATGTTGCTCTAAACACTTGATGCTTTTTTTTCCAGGATTGCTGTGTACAAAGCACTCTATAGACTGTTTGGAGGATTTGTTGCAGATGTAGTTGCTGCAATTGATCAGGTATATATAATATATGTCATGTAATGAATTGCTTAAAAAAACTTATTTCAACTCAACATGATCATAAAATTGAACCATCAGTTACAGTCTCATATTTTTTTAACTGTCATTGATATATTGCAAGATGTGTAATTTTTCAAATTTGAGAGTCAACAGGCTGTACATGATGGAGTGGATATACTCAGCCTTTCAGTTGGACCAAATGGCCCGCCAGCAGCCACCAAAACCACGTTTTTGAATCCTTTTGATGCTACACTTCTAGGGGCTGTGAAAGCTGGAGTGTTTGTTGCACAGGCTGCGGGAAACGGTGGCCCTTTTCCTAAGTCATTGGTTTCATATAGTCCGTGGATAGTATCTGTAGCTGCTGCAATTGATGATCGTAGATATAAAAACCATTTGTGTCTTGGAAATGGAAAAATCTTAGCAGGACTCGGGTTGTCACGTGAGTTTCCAACTTCATACTATGTTTCTTAGAATTAACATGTCTTCCGTGTTCTGTAAATTTCATGTTTTTGCACCTTGACATGTTTATGGTTGCCAACAATTCATTTGTCGTCTACTCGTTTCCCTTGTATGCTAAGTTTTGTTGTTAGTGGTTTTGTGCAGCTTCTACACATTTAAACCAAACATACACATTGGTTGCTGCAAATGATGTGCTGCTAGATTCTTCAGTTATGAAGTACAGCCCAACAGATTGCCAGAGACCAGAAGTCTTAAACAAAAACTTGATAAAGGGAAAAATTCTTCTGTGTGGCTATTCTTACAATTTTGTTGTTGGTACTGCGTCAATTAAGAAAGTGTCGGAAACAGCAAAGGCTCTGGGAGCAGTTGGATTTGTTCTTTGTGTAGAAAATGCTTCTCCTGGAACAAGATTTGATCCAGTCCCTGTCGGTCTTCCTGGTATTCTAATCACAGATGTCAGCAAGTCAAAGGTATTTGACTCACTTTCGATAACTAATTAACTACCGATCCATCTGCATCTTTAAAGCGCAACTACTGTTTAAATCATCTCTTCACATGTTTTCATCTGTACATCTTTATGATCGCGTAATATGTGTGGTAGTAAAATGATTTGGAACTTTCAAATCCTATTTTTTTCAGGAATTGATAGATTATTATAATATCTCCACGTCAAGAGACTGGACTGGAAGAGTGAAGAGTTTCAAAGGCACGGGTAAAATTGAGGATGGTTTGAGGCCTATTATGTATAAATCCGCACCACAGGTGGCTTTATTCTCTGCTAGAGGGCCAAATATAAAGGATTTCAGCTTCCAAGAGGCAGATCTTCTCAAACCAGATATATTAGCTCCGGGTTCATTGATTTGGGGTGCTTGGTCTCTAAACGGAACTGATGAGGCAAATTATGATGGTATGTAATGGTTTGCTTAAGTTGTGTCTTAATTGTTTAGCTTGGAAAATTCATCCTGTTACCAACATTTGGACATAAGAAAAAGAAGTTTCAAATCATTATGCTACTATATACAAAATTTATTTTCTTTTGACTATGTTTATACAAGGATTCATCAGTAATGAGACCAAAAACGAATCATTTTTACTTGAGCAGGAGAGGGATTTGCCATGATGTCTGGAACTAGCATGGCTGCACCTCACATTGCTGGAATCGCTGCTCTTATAAAGCAGAAACATCCACGTTGGAGCCCTGCTGCCATTAAATCAGCCTTGCTTACAACATCAACGACTCTTGACAGAGCAGGAAACCCAATTCTAGCTCAGCAATATTCAGAAACAGAAGCCCTGAAGCTGGTCAGAGCCACTCCTTTTGATTATGGGAATGGACATGTGAATCCAAGAGAAGCCTTGGACCCTGGACTCATCTTTGATGCAGGTTCGTTTGTTTTCACCCTCTAATTTAACTATTTTGCTTGTCTTATTCCTAGTTACTCGTAACACAGTGTGTGGTTTATTACCTATTCTTATATAATGTATGTTAGACATAGTGTTAACTAGAAAAATCAAAACGAAAAATCAAAATGAATATACTACAAAAACCGTTTCCAACAAAAAAAGGAGTATTATAGTGATTGAAACGTAAATATGAATATATTACAAAAACGAACAGCGTATTTTAAGTGTGGTATACAGCTCATATTTACTCATAAGTGGCTAGTTGATCGAGTGGAGCAAATGGAGCTGAAAGCTCAATGAGGCGAAGCAGAGTATTTAAACTCAAGTTGTAATATGTAACTCTAATCAGCTACATTTGCTCTCTATCAAAGACGAAGGCACAATCAACAGAACTTTGTGATCAAATCATGTGTCATCTTTATCTCAACGTTAAGTCTTGATTTAAATAGCTAAGGGATCTTGTTATTTTACAATAAACATATTTATCCTGAGGCTTTCAGAGGTATCCTCATTTAAATTAGTTACTAAATATGCTTGAGTTTGGCTTGAACTCGTCTGTCTTCTGCTTAACTGCATAATTTACTAAAATGATGTGTTCGAGAAATAACTTTTTGTGTGTGCAAAGGAAGAAAAGACTGTTAGAACAGTAGCCAGTGTAGAAGATTAAAGAAACGAAAGTAAAAGACAATGAACACGATCAATTTTTTTAACGTAGTTCGGCCAATGGTGCCTACCTCTGCGACTAAAGAGTGACTATAGTTACATTTTATTTTCTTGACAAACTAGGGTTACCATGTTACTACAAGCAATACATATAATACTACGACTCACAGTTCATAATGAACTCACCATGGATACTAAGACCAAAATATTTTAAACTTCTTACTTAGTTTTGCTAACCATTTTGCAGGATACTTGGATTATTTAGGGTTCTTGTGCACAACACCTGGCATTGATGTTCATGAGATAAAGAAGTACACAAACTCACCATGTAACAAAACACTAGGTCACCCATATAATTTAAACACTCCATCAATCACAGTTTCACATCTTGTGAGAACTCAAATTATAACTCGCACGGTCACAAATGTTGCTAAGCAAGAAACCTATGTGATGACTGCTAGAATGCAACCAGCAATCGCCATTGAAGTAAACCCTCCAGCAATGACAATCAAAGCCGGTGCGTCGCGTAAGTTTACCGTGACACTTACTGTTCGATCGGTGACCGGAACATATAGTTTTGGAGAGGTTTTAATGAAGGGAAGCAGAGGACACAAAGTGAGAATCCCTGTTCTGGCCAATGGATACTCAAGATAGGCTAGTTTGGCCATTGTAATATTCTTTGTAACTTGTGGGAATAAGGTGTGTTTTACTAGATTTATTCATTAATGTATGTGATGTTAAATATATGTAAAGGTTGATAGGTGTAAAAGGAGAGACTTCTAGTTTCCACGTTTTGAATTTTGCTAAGATCATCTAGTAATAAGTTAAATTTCTTCTTCTTCAAAAGTTTTCCATGTATCTTCAATCCACTTTCTCCCACAATTACTTGATTACAACAGGTTGTAAGTTGCAATACACAAATAATCATGAATATGACATATGGTATCCATTTGTAGAGATTCATTCATTCCTGCTTTGTTTGTGTCATAAATTTCAAAAATATTTTGCCAAATTTAAGGCATAAATCAAGTATTAATATTTGTTAGTTCTATTAACTTCTACTCACATTAATTGTCACTTGAGTACGAATTCAGGCCTCCCATAATATTAAAATTTCATTGTACACTTTCATTGAGGTTGTGATTTTCTCTGATTTTTCATGTGTCTCTGTTAATTTTTTTTAATCTCAACAAAAATCAATTTTTTCCCTTAAGATTGTGTTTCGATTTATATAACACGATGTAATTGGATGGAAAGGAGTTGAATAAATTTATATTTTATTGTTTGGATTAATTAAGGTTATGTTTGGATTGATGGAATATAACGGAGCAGAGCGAATAGAATACAACGGAGCAGAATAGAGGAGAGCAGAATGAAATATACATATCATTTCATTGTTTGGTTATTTTATTAAAAATATCTCATTCCATCAAATACACCTTAAATTAGATGAATAAAAAATGAGAAATTGAATGGAATAGGATGTAATGGAATGAAATGGATTCCATCATTTTCTATTTCATTTCATCTATTATTTATGAATCGAAACAATAGAAACTTATTAGTTCCCATTTCATTTCATCCTATATCACCTATCTAAACATACTCACACTAGTCGGGAGCCTCACATACTATGAAATCAGCCTTAACTGCATCGTCATTAAACAACCAACCATAGACATAACATAGACTAACAATTAAAACTGACATTCCATAATAGTGAGGACCGTAGTATGGATTGATGGTCAGATGTTTTCTGATACACAAGATCCTCGTGTTGAGGCAATTGTAGAGCATACTTGCATCTGTATGGGGAATTATGACATGAATACAATAACTAAAGCTTTTAGGGAGAAATAAAAGAGAGTTAGAACATTTTGTTCTTAAGCACACAAGATGGTTTTTATTCTTATTGCTTATAACTTGAAATATTACAAGAGGTTTCCTTTTATAGCCAAGGAGATTCACAAAAGACAAAACCACACTATTTACAAACATGACATCATTAATGTCTTCTTTCAAAAGTCCGACACCCTTATCCCTTATGGATAAATTATTGTAGTACTATTACACAAAAGGACGAAACTTAACTATTTATAAACATGCTTGTGATTAATAAGAGACACTTGTTCAATTAGTCTTTAAAAATAGGTTCATGACTTGGAGACATATTCTAATCGGATAAGTATTCTTCTGAAAAGCAGTCTCTGTATCGTGATGTCTCTTTTTCCCACACGTCATCCATCATGTAAGCATGGTCTGATATTTTTCTATGAACTTCTTCCACGTGTCCTTCTGAGAATTCAACTTCCATTGGGGAATCTGCTTTTTATTGTGTGGCTTGAACTGAGCTTTATCCACTTGTATAAGTCATCAAGTTCAGTATAAAAATCGAGAGGTTGGAGAAAGCTCAATTCAAGCCACACAACAGAAAGCAGATTCCCCAATGGAAGTTGAATTCTCAGAAGGACACGTGGAAGAAGTTCATAGAAAAATATCAGACCATGCTTACATGATGGATGACGTGTGGGAAAAAGAGACATCTCGATACGGAGACTGCTTTTCAGAAGAATACTTATCCGATTAGAATATGTCTCCAAGTCATGAACCTATTTTTAAAGACTAATTAGACAAGTGTCTCTTATTAATCACAAGCATGTTTATAAATAGTTAAGTTTCGTCCTTTTGTGTAATAGTACTACAATAATTTATCCATAAGGGATAAAGGTGTCAGACTTTTGAAAGAAGGCATTAATGATGTCATGTTTGTAAATAGTGTAGTTTTGTCTTTTGTGAATCTCCCTGACTATAAAAGGAGACCTCTTGCAATATTTCAAGTCATAAGCAATAAGAATAAAAACCATCTTGTGTGCTTAAGAACAAAATGTTCTAACTCTTTTTTCTTTCTCCCTAAAAGCTTTAGTTATTGTATTCATGTCATAATTCCCCATATAGATGCAAGTATGCTCTACACTTGCCTCAACACAAGGATCTTGTGTATCAGAAAACATCTGACCATCGATCCATACTACGGTCCTCACTATTATGGAATGTCAGTTTTAATTGTTAGTCTATGTTATGCCTATGGTTGGCTGTTTAATGACGATACAGTTAAGGCTGGTTTCATAGTATGTGAGGCTCCCGGCCAGTTTGGTATCAGAGCCCCAACGGAAAGAAGGGGTGCATATGGCATGAATATAATAAATAGAGTAAGTAAAGGAGAAAAATATTTAACCATGGCGCTATCACAACAAAACACTCATCCTATTACCACCACCTTCTCCCTATCACTTCCTAAACTCTGTAAAAAGACTGATACCCATAAAATAGAAAACCTTATTGAGTATTCTTATGTTCTAGAAGATGCTCAAATTTCCGAAACAGTACCTCCCCTTTTAAGTCCTTATAATATCTTCAAAAAACAAAGAACAATTACCAGATCCATCAGAAACCTAATCTCTACCAATCGCCCTCATATGAAAGAATACGTCCAGTCATCTCGACTAGACCAATGTAGTTTGAGAGCTACCAACCAAGAGCAGTATGTTGATTTAGAGATTCCTCAGAGTCTCATAAATCACTAGAAATCTGAAGGATACACAACTTTACATTTTGGAGCAGTTAGACTCATTCTCTCTCTCCATGGAAGGAAAAATCAGCCTGTCTTCTGCAAAATAGCTCTCCTAGATTCGAGCTATCTCCATTATGAAAATGTTGTCATAGGGACTGTTCTGACCTCACTTCATGCAGGAAGCGTTGTTCTTACTGTTTTTCCAAATTATAATGTAAGCCTCAACAACAGCACCCTATCTACCAGACTAAAGGTCCAAGTTCAAATCACTGGATCTGACCAAGTTCCAGAGGCCATGTCTGCTACTCTCCATCACCAAATAATCTATCGCCTATAAAATCATTCGATAGATTTGCCTCTCACGGGATATTCTTCTGATTCTCTGTTAGTAATTACTAATAGAGAAGAAGATATACCCTCTATTGTTCAGATTCCAAGAAAGATCACAAGGTAAGAACTAACTCAGTTAATTCTTCTTGAGTGGATAACAAACTATGAAAAAATCCATCAAGATAAAAGATAAATACAATCTCAAGAGGCCACCTTTAGAAGATCTGTTGACAAAACGGTCAAAACAATTTTCAAAAAACCAGATGAAGGATCGAGTTCAATTTCTCCTATTTTCCAGACCATGATGATCCGACCGATTCTCAAAGAAGATTGGTGCCTAATTCATGTTGTAACTAGTAAAGGAGAACCTATCTATACTGACAAGATAAATGGTCATTTTATTTGGGACGTAGATCCCAATAAATGTGACCCAGGATGTGAATGTTGGATGCACGATAATGATTATAACAGAGATATTACCCTTCCGAAAAGAAAAAACAACGGGGCGTGCAAACCATCTCCTCCTCCACAAAGAAGATATGATCCTGATAACGGTCCATGGGTAGGTATCCATGATAAAAAGAAACCTCTTCCTATTTATGAGGAAGCTCTCAAGATCCTCAGGAAATAAAAACTGCTGCCACCAAATGATCCTACTCTAGTTACGTGGTCACCGTCAGACTACTGCAAAGTTTTGGACCCTCCAAAAAATGTTGAGTTAATCCATTGCTTTATGTACTCAACTATCGCACCAGATTATAGTCAACAATTTCCTGATCTAGAAAGGAAGATGGATCCAATCACTGGAAGAACATCCAAACCCTTCATTCATCCTAATGAAGTACAACCCGATGGAAAACTCAAACCTTTAACTCAAGCTGAAGAAGTTCTAAATTGGAAATCAGAAAACATGATTTCTCAAAATGACATCCTCCAAAATCTCGACAAAAAAGTGGACAAGATTGCTGAGAGAATAGACGAGATAAATGATTATCTCAAGGTTCTATCACAGAAAATACAGAAGCATTACAGAAGCTTAAAGGCTCAAGTGTCTCAGTTGGATCGTGATTTGCGACAGATGTTAGAAGAAAGAACTTTTGGCAAAACTTTTGACCAAAAGGAAAGAGAAATCAGAAACCTACAAGGCCAAGTAAAAGAGATAGATGATTTCTTAAGAGCTTCACGCGAAAGAAAGCCCAAGCCTGTTGAAAACCTTTTCCTTGACCCTCCTACTTTCCCTACATATTTCAAACGACCAGAAAGACCTTTTCCCTTCTTCCCTACCTATGTTTCTTCACCACCAGATCAGGTCAAATACATACCTACAACTTACAGACCAAAATCTACCAGAACTACCATTACCTCAACCTCCAAGAAAAAAGGAAAGGATGCCTGTTTGAGCGCTTCATCCTCAGAATCTCAGGATTTTCCTGAAACACCTCCTCTAAAATTCCAAAAGGAAGAAGAAATTCCTGATAAAGGTTTCCAAGCCATGGCAATCACTGGAAAGTTACTCTCTTGCTGAATCATCGGCACAAAAAGAAGACGAGTCCTCCTCGGATGATGACAAAGACTCCTGTCAAGAAACGTCTAGTGATGAAACACCAAGATCCTTTTCATCAGAATCACAATATGAAGTAAACTACATCCCAAGACTCTTCATGGTAAATATAAAAGAGGAAGATTCATTTTTTGAAGAATCTCCTGAAGAAACTCTAGTCCCTGAAAGGACTAAACCAAATGGCGGTCCTTGGTTCACATTTGATGATATACCGCCTAGTCGTTGGAGAAAGAGACTACTCGAATTCGGAGCATGGCTTGATACCAGATGATGAAAACAAATGCAGATAGCTATAAGGTCATTGAAGAATTTTGCTATAGAATGATAGGCACGATGAAGGAATGGTATCACAATCTTGGGGCTTTCAAACAAGATGAGTTACACCATTTAGAAAGCACAAATAATATCCTTGGTGTACTCCACCAGGAGTTTATCGGAGATATGAATATGTTCGATAGAAAAAACAGACATGAATTCTTTGAGATGAAGTGTTGTTCCCTCA